CTTTAGTGAGAATGCAATTATGAAAAATTTTATTATTTTTCCGAACTCTAGGTGAAAGTCAAGTTTTTAAAAGTTTATATTACATAAATATTTAAAAACTTAACAACGTCATATTTGTATCATATAGCATTATTTATCATTCATTTAATGTAATTCGCGCTATGTCTTATTTTTATTATAGACGGAAGAATGTTCTAATGAACCAAGAAAAATGCATACTCGTCATCCCACAGAACAAACTGTTACTGACGAGAAATTGGAGAAGAATTACTTCAGGCATCGGTATGTGTTCATATCGCCGATTATTTCTTCTTTTTGTTTTACATGTTTGTTAGAAATGTTTATACATAACTTTATACGCATTTTTATCCTAGATTACAACGGACGAATAAGGAAGGTACTAGTAGTAGAGAGCGAACAGCAGCATTTGGACTAATAATGTCGAGTGGCCCACCACCCGCACTTCCTGGAGATCATTCAGTACTTTTGCCCAGTATTGCTTCACAAACATCTATGCGTAAATGACTCTTGAGAAAATTCTTTGTTCAATTTGCAAGATTAACAGATGTTTAAATTCCCTTATCTTTACAGACAATCAGTTTAGCTTGAGTACAAAAGCGAGTCCCATGAACATCCCAGTAAAACCAATAAGGCCTCCAATGCGTTCGTCTATCGAAGGACTTAATCAAGAAATTGAAGGACTTGTGCTCAAAAATACAGCCAATAATAGTGATGCAGACCATCCAGTAGAAGACAAGGTAATACACGAAATTTTCAGTATTATTAATTACTAGAATTTAATATTGTAATAAGATAAAACAAAAATTAATTTACTTATAAATTTACTTATATATTGTTATGTTATTTGAAAAAGAATAAATTTTGTTTAAAATAAAAGTTAAAATAAAAGTTAAAATAAAAGTTAAAATAAAATAAAAGTTATATTTTGAGTATCTTATTTCTGATATTTATATCTATATTTAGATACGACAAATATATATTTTTTGCAAAATAGAATTTTATCTTATGGGTTATGGTTTTTTTAGCGATCTTTTTTTATACGTTTTTTGCGTTCTTTTCTTTGTTTTATATGATATTTCAATATGGGATTTTTATTTCTTTAGTATGCACGATATCGCGAGCAGATCACACCCGAAGGACATCGTGCCCCTCTGGCAGACTTATTGCGGGCTACTCGGAGTGTCAATACACAAACACCGGCTACCGACCTTCCCTCCAGTTCTTATTCTTCAGGTAAGACATGCAATAGTTTTTATGCTTAATTGATTTCCAGGTATAAATGATGTTGATGTAATTACAATAATGATAGAAATAGGAAAAATATTTATAACTAATAATGTGATAAAATCTTACAAAAAATAATTGGGTAATAATTAAGAGAATTATATATATATATATATATATATATATATATATACATATATATAAC